ATGCTTCTTAGGTATCTCTAATTTACTCCTGTGGCTTTTTTCCCTAACTTCTGGGTGGACGTGGGGTCATTTCTTTCATCCAGAACCACAACAAGAGATGCATTTTAGGAAGGATAGCACAATGGGTAGGGCATTTGCCTTGCATGCGGTCAATCCAGGTTTGATCCCTGGTATCTCCTATGGTTCCCCAAGCCTGCCAGGAAAGATCCCTCAGCACAGAGCCAGGAGTAAGTCCTGTGCACCACTGGATATTCCCCCCCCAAAAAAAAAGGGGAGGTGCATTTTATTATCTTAATTTTCCTTCTACCCTTCCATTGGTTTGGTTTGGTTTTGGGGCCAAAGTTTGGTTTTACGGCAAAGTGCAGGGCTTACTCCTGTCTGCACTAGGGGTTACTCCTGGCAGTCTTCAGGGGACCACGTGGTGCCAGGGGTCAAACCTGTGTTGGCTGTGTGCAGAGCGTCTTAAATAACCCCTGTACTAGCTCTTGTCCCCCCACTCCCCTACCCTCTGCTGCCCACTGGTTTTAATGCGTTTATACCCCATCCACCCATCTTGTACCAGCGTGATTTTCAGGCAGCTCTCACAGTATACACCGTGACATAAAAAGTTGAAAATCCAGCTAGGCAGATTTGAGATTGGCCCGCTAGATTTAATTCGGAGTTTGTAGCAGCCTAAGTAAAGAAAGAATCCCGGTCACTTTTAGTCACTTTCTATTCATACTGTAAGAGCCAATGGAAGCGGCCTCTGACTCTTGTACTGAGACCAAAGAGAGAATTTCCCAGGGGTCTCAGCGAAGACACAGTCAGGGCAGAGAGCGTGAAACAGCAACGACTTTCTGGAGATGCTTCTGAGGGACTCCTTACCCAGAGCCACGCAGGACAGTGAGCACTCTGGGAAAGAGTCGTTTGCAGTGGGGAAAGGCCACAAGGGGTAATCAGAACACAGTCTGGGTGCTGCCCTGAGGGCCAGCCCCAAGGAGTGATGCATCTGGCTGTCAGCTGACGTGTCCTGCCACCCTGGTGTCCTGTGAATTTCACAGATTGGCCACGGAACTTTTTTTTTTTTATCAGCGTGTCACATTTATTTTTGCTACAGCTGAGGATCCACGTGGCTTAAGCAGTCGGTGAGATGCTGGCCGGGGCTCAGAACGCACCACCTCCGGGATGCCGCGCGAGAGGACCCACTTCACCTGGCACGAAAGTGAACTTGACGTGGATAGCCTGAGTGGTCCCTAAACATTCTCTCACCTTGGTTCCAGTAAGAGCCACAGAGAGCAGGTAGGCTGGGTCTGGTCAGACGTAGGTCCAGGTGCTGTCATAATCCCCTGGGGCATGAACAGCCTTAGATGCAGGTGTGAGAATACTCCTGCCGTGGGCTGCCTATGTAAGGAGGCTTGCCTGGAGAGCTGCCCCGGGGTCTGGCAGATCTCTCGGTGGGCTCAAGTACAGGCTCTGTGTATGGGAACCTTGGATTTGATACCCAGAACCACATGTCCCCCAGCAAGGAGTGGCTAGCCCTGCCCCCTACCCTCCACCAACCCCCCCCCCACACACACACACACACTCCCCCATCACTCAGTGTGACCCAAAAGCCAGAACAGCTTGAGATGGGCAGAAAGGCAGTCCACATTACGGAGCTTATCCACATTAAGTGTGGAAGAATTAATATTTGGGGGTCTGGAGTGGGAGGCCCGCAGCCCCCAGTGCTCAGGGGCTACTTCTGGCTCTGTGCTCAGGGATCATGCAGAGCTGAGGCATGCATCTGGATCTCCCACATGCAGTGCTCTCCAGCCCACTGAGTTGTCTCTCTGGCCCAGGAAGTGACAGTTTAAAAATGAATGATCCTGGGCGGCGGCGGTGAACGCGGCCTGGTTCCATTCCCATGGCATGGACCAGGTTGAGGGATTAGTGCGCTCGACCGTGCCCCACAAGCACCAGGTGCCACATCAGCTATGCGCCAACCCAGCCTAAGAACTCCCTCTAAGAACATGCTGTCTGCTGTCAGATTGGGTTCCTTAGTCATGCATCTTCAGTGGTGTTGAGTGACTTACCATCACATTGTAAGATGTTTTTTCTGCAAAGGAAAGAGCTGCAGGCACGGATTCTCAGCTCGGAAGAAGAGGAGAAACTGTAAAGAGACCAGATCATAGTATTTGATTTTAAACAGCAAAAGTTGGAGAAAGAGACGCAGAAGAATTGGGATCTTTTTTACAAGAGAAATAGTACTAATTTTTTCAAAGATAGACACTGAACCACCAGAGAGTTTGAGGAGCTAAGATCTTGTAGGGAGTTTGCAGATCAAACGTTGATTAAACTCAAAGCTGGCTGTGGTGTTGGTAATTGTTTATTCCCTCTTTTGGAAGAAGATCAGAATATCTTTGCCTGTGCCTGTGATTTTTCTCCAAGAGCTGTAGAGTATGTCAAGCAGAATCCTCTCTACAGCGCCGAAAGATGCAGAGCATTTCACTGTGACCTGACGAAAGACGACCTTCTGGAGCAGGCCCCCCGGACTCGGTGGATATGGTCACGCTGATATTTGTGTTCTCCACAGTGCACCCAGAGAAGATGCCCCATGTCTTACAGAACATTTACAAGGTATTGAATCCAGGCAAAAGTGTGTTGTTTTGTGACTATGGGCTCAACGACCACGCCATGCTGAGGTTTATTTTTTGGGGGGAGGGGGTCACACTCGGCGGGGCTGGAGCGATAGCACAGCGGGTAGGGCGTTTGCCTTGCACGCAGCTAACATGGCCGGCCCGAGTTTGATTCCTCCGCCCCTCTCGGAGAGCCCGGCAAGCTACCGAGAGTATCTCGCCCGCATGGCAAAGCCTGACAAGCTACCCGTGACGTATTCTATATGCCAGACACAGTAACAACAAAGTCTCCAATGGAGACGTTACTGGGCCCGCTCGAGCAAATCGATGAACAATGGGAGGACAGTAACAGTGACACACTTAGCTTTGCTCAGGGGTTACTCCTGGCTCTGCATTCAAGAATTACCCCTGGCAGTGCTCAGGGGACCATATGGGATGCTGGGAATCGAACCCGGTTTGGACGAGTGCAAGGCAAACGCCCTACCCGCTGTTCTATCGCTCCAGCCCCCATGCTCAGGTTTAAAGCCGGCAGGAAGCTTGGAGAGAACCTCTACGTGCGCCAAGACAGAACCAGATCGTATTTTTTCACCGCCGAATACCTGGCACGACCCTTCATGGATGCAGGTTAAGAAGAAGTGGTGAACGAGTACGTGCTTCGGGAGGCAGTGAGTAAGAAGGCCTGTGTGTGCCCAGAGTTTTCCTACAGAGCAATTTCCAGAAGACACCGAAGATTCCCTCACTCCCAGGACACCCAGATCCCAAGTCTGACCTTTCGCAGGGCTGAGGTGGTTCGTTCACTTGAGATATTGAAAGTCACTCATGAGTTGAATATTTCTTTATATTGTAGTTCTCAAAATGAAAGTATATGATTTTTTTATATTATTAAATATCAAGCAAAAAAAAAGATCATGAATGCTTACTTAGATATTAGAAGTTATAGAAAGGAAATAGGGTTTGTGTAAAACATCTGACTTTAAGCTATTAACTTCCTGTCAAACCCTTGACGGTATACCCAGCTATGCCAGTATTATTTCAGTATACCCATCTTACCCCTATTATCTCTCCAGCCCCTGCAAAATAAGGAGATTAGGGCTTACTTCAGAACTAGCAAAATGGTAAGATTTTTCTGTTTTTCTTCTTTACATATTTATTCTTTTTTTTTGCTTCTTGGGTCACACCGGCAATGCACTCAGGAATTCCTCCTGACAGTGCTCAGGGGACCATATGGGATGCTGGGAATCGAACCCGGATTGGCCACATGCAAGGCAAATGCCCTACCTGCTGTGCTATCGCTCCAGCCCCTTATTCTTTTTTTTTTTTTTGGATCACACCCAGCGATGCACAGGGGTTACTTCTGGTTCATGCACTCAGAAATTACTCCTGGCTATGTTTGGGGGACCATATGGGATGCTGGGAATCGAACCCGGGTTGAGCCGCATGTAAGGCAAACACCCTACCCGCTGTGCTATCACTCCAGCCCCCTCCAGCCCCTTATTCTTAAAAAATTACATATATATATTCACACACACATGTACTTTGGGGTCAGAGTGGTAGTACAGTGGTTAGCACACTTGCCTTGGATTCAGCCAACTCGGGAGGTTAGATCCCCATCATCCCATATGGTCCTCCGAGCCCACCAGGAGTGATTCCTGAGCACAGAGCCCAGAGTGAGCCCTGAACATTAGCCTCCCCCCAACAGATAAACGGTACGGTCAGTAGGGCTCTTGGGGGCAATAGTAGATGGGTAAGTTGCTGTACTGTCTCTCTGGCCCCTCTCTAAGATTTTTAATCAGGATGTACAATTACATTGGCAGGTTTTGAATGACAAAGTGTTGAACAGTGGCTCTTCCTCTTTGGAGCCCCTGTGGATAGAGTCCCCTCTCTGCACTCAGCTGTTTGAACCCCCCTATCCCTGTGGGGGGCCCTGCAGGCTGATGGGCCCTGCCTCTTTTGGCGCCGTAGAGCAGCTGTCAGCCAGAGAAACACCTGTTCTGTGATTGATCGAAATCTCCGCAGTTGACCACTCACTCATTTCACAGCATCTCACAGGGGCTACAGAGTACACGCAGACCCCAGGCGCTGGGTGTGGGCGGGAGAGATAGCACAGCAGGTATGGTGCTTGCCTTGCATGCAGCCCAACCCGGATTCAGTTCAGCATCCCAGACAACCACCAGGTGTGATTCCTGAACGCAGAGCCAGGAATAAGCCCTGAGCTCTGCCAGGTGTGGCCCAAAAACAAGCAGGAAAAGAAAAAGGGAAGGAAAGGAAAGGAAGCAAGGGAAGGAGGGAGAGCCAAGGTCTTCAAGTTTTCGTTACTATCCTCTTCTGCTTTTGTAGGAATCAACTTCCCTACATTTGGAATTAAATTTTTATTTATTTAACACCAACTTTTATTTTCCATTTAAGGCCATTTCTCATGCCTGGAAGCTCTCCTTTTCTCCACAAAGATGGTAATAAATCTTTGCCTTCCACAATTCAGACCAAGGATTTCCTGCAACAAGGTAAACAGATGCATCCACATACATCAGTATACACTATTTGTCATGTTCCCCCTCTCTTCCCGCCTGTGTCTTGGGGCTGCCGTCGGGACTGATGGGCTTCTCCCCTCCTCATCTTATTCAGTGTATCGCAGTGTAGGTGAATGGGGCCGGGCTGCCCCTCTCGAGTCACCGCCTCCCGACTCTGAATCATCCTGTCGGGCTTTGTACTTCTCCTTCTGACCACAGGTTTAACTCTCCTCAAAGTCATAGTGACATGAGAAATTCACCGCCTCCTCCCCACCACCCCCATTCTTGCTAATGTCTCAATTGACGTAGTTCTTCATATGAGTTAGTGGCCTTCCCTACCATACACAGGAGGGTTTGTCTATGCAGCACAGAGCCAGAAAAAGGAAATAAGGAAGCCCCAGGGGAGGGCAGGAGTTACTCCTGGTGGTGCTTGAGGACCATTTGGAATGTTGGGAACAAACCCGAGTGGGCCACGTACCAGGGCAAGCACTGTGCTGTCTTTCTGGCTCCCTGTACTTTTTTTCCTAAGGAGGCATTGCTGGGGCCTTGTATAGGGGGGATGTATGTTGTCCCACTGTGCTCCGATCCTGGCCCTCATGCTCACACTTGTCAGGAGGGTCAGGGCTGGGGACTCGGCCGCCCTCAGTCTATGACCTGCACCCAGGTGCCTGCAGAGGACCCCAGAGGATTCTGTGTAATTGAAGAAAACTTTTTGATGATGTTTTCAGTGACATTCACTGATGCTCAGGGGCCTCCTTGCCCAGCTCAGTTGCTGGGGGACCAGATTGGTGGGGGGGGGTGGGGGGGCGGGGCTCAAACCCAGGTCTCCTGCATGTGGAGCCTGTATCCAGCCCATAGAACTATCTCCGAGCCCTGGCTGAGGAAGTTTCAAGTGAGGCATTTCAAACCTTTTTTTTTTTTTTTCCAAAAATTTTCTTCAAAGTAGCAGGTTCTAGGAAACGGGTTGCTTGGATCGTAGTCAAGGCAGGAGTTGGTTCTTCTTGTTGTTAAACCTAGATATCGGCAGACGGTTACGAAGTCGAGAACCTCATCTCTGAGGACGCTGCCAAGAGGAGCCGCGGCTTCCGGACGGAGTACTTCATCAAGCCGCCTGTGCACGTCACCCTGTCCTTCCCCTTCAACGTGGAGCTCTGCCGCATCAGCCTGGACCTCGCGGGGGGCGGCGTCCAGGGCGCCAGTGGCGTGGAAGTGTACACCTCGGCCGTGGCCGGCAGAGCGATGGGGAACCCCTCTGAGTGCAGGACCCCGGGCCTGGCCGAGCCGGCTGCCCCGGACAAGGAGGCCTTCACCCTGGTGGGCAAAGTCCTGCTGCGAAGCCAGAGCCAGGTGACCTTCAGCCACCGCGGCTTCAAGGCCAGGCCCCCGTTTGGCCCCATGGAAGCCACGCTGCCCTCTCCCGCCGCTGTGGCCCAGGAGCTCTGGAGCAAAGGGCCCCTGTCCCTGAGCCACGTGGCCCATCTCAAGATCTGTGTCACCCACATGACAGGGGGCGGCGTCCCCGGCATCCGCCGGCTGGAGGTGTGGGGGCAGCCCGCCAGGACTTGCTCACAGGAGGTGATGGACAGTGTCCTGCTGGCGGCCACCGCCAGCCCTGCTCCGGACTCGGTGTCGCTGGCCCCGGCCTTGCCCATGGAGAGTGACTGCGCCCCGGGCGGCCAGCCTGAGGGCCCCACGGCCCCCGGCGGCCTGCCCGAGCTGGCGGGGGACCTCGGGGACGTGCCCGAGGAGTTCCTGGACGCCATCACGCTGGAGATCATGCCCTGCCCTGTGCTGCTGCCCTCGGGCCAGGTCATTGACCAGAGCACTCTGGAGAGGTGCAACCGCGGTGAGGCCAGCTGGGGCCGTGCGCCCAGCGACCCCTTCACAGGCGTGGCCTTCACGCCGCACTCACAGCCCCTGCCGCACCCGGCGCTGAAGGCGCGCATTGACCGCTTCCTGCTGCAGCACACAGTGCCCGGCTGCCGCCTGCTGGGCCGTGCCCAAGCCACGGCGGCCGTGACTGCCGCCTCCATCGTGCTGCCAGGGTGCAAGAGGAGGATGGAGCCAGCGGCCGCCGCCTGCGCCTCCGCCACCGGCCTGCTGGACACACCCACTACCTCAGAGCACCCCGCCAAGAAGGCCAGAGCCGCCACCACCGCCGAGCCAGGGCTGGCCCACATGGACTGCTCCCCAGGTAGCCCTCCCGCAAGCCCGCACCTTCCCCAGGGCTTGTGGTCGGGAAGCCCGGCCTAGCTTGGGCGGCCCCAGCCCCTGCTGCAGCCCCCTCCCAGGCCGCCTGCGGAAGATGGGCACGCAGGTGGCAAGTGTGGCCAGCTGGGACTGGAGAGATTTGTGTCCACTCTAACGTGTGGTTGAGGCATGTGCCCGGGAATTGTGGAACCCATTGGCGCCTGCCCGGTTGGCTGGCTGCTGGGGTCAGGCTCAGCCCTGTGCCCTGTGGGCGGGTGCCTCAAGAGGCAGGTCTGGGTCCTGCACCCGGTGGCCTTGACAGCCCCGCATCTGCCGGGTTTTGTAGGCTGGAAGCAGGCCAGTCTGCAGCCCCTTTTCCAGGGGTAACCGAGGGCCTCAGCAGGAAGTTGGGGTTCCCCCGGAGCCGTTTTAGATACCCCTACACCATCAGTGCCGGTTTTATTCAGTGTTTCGAACCAGGAGTGCTGGTGCTTCTGTTCTGTCTGGGTCTTTTCAGTAACAGTGGAGCTGATGGTGCTTTTTTATTTCTCATTTTGTTGTTTTGGGGCCTCACCTGGCCCTATGCTGGGCGCCCAGCCCTGGCGGTATTCAGGGGACCTTACGCAGCGCTGGGATTTGAACCAGGCTGGCGGGGACATGGTAGGCAAGTGTCTTAACCTTTGTGCTACCTCTCTGGCCCATCCTTAGGTCTTCTCACGTGAGAAAACACACCGGCCTCTGCGGCCCACCTGGCCTTCCCTTTGGCCAGACCTCCCCAGACCTTCTGGCCTGTGCCTCTCTCCGCAGGTCCCATGTCCCATGAGCAGAAGCTGTCACAGAGCTTGGAGATGGCCTTGTCGTCCACCCTTGGCTCCATGCCCTCCTTCACGTCGCGACTGACCAGGGGCCAGCCCCAGCATGCAGGTGCGCGGCAGTGGCCCTTGCAGGGTACTGCGGGGCGGGTCCTCCTGGTCCCTGTCCTCCCCCAGGAGAGCTGAGAGTGGGAGCAGCCTGCAGCCCCGCCATAGCCCCGTGGGATGTGGGAGCAGGACCCTGGCTCTCCTTCAGGGGGGTGGACGGAGGGTGGTCTCCTGCCGCGGGTGGGATCTGGCCAGTGGGTTGCCCCTCTGCTGACCAGGCCCATTTCTGCCTCCCCTCTGGCCACGTGTCCCTTCCCTGGTGCCGCGCCTTGCTCCGGCCTGGCCGGGTGGGAGTGCACTGGGGACACCCCCAGGAACCGCCTCAGCGCTGTGGCCCTCCCTAACCCTGGCCTGTTTGCCTCCCTGATCCACCAGGGCAGCCTGGGAGCGACCCGGGCCCCGCGTGCGCCGCCTGCAAAAGCCTGTGTTCTCCCTACTTCCAAAAGGAGCCAGTGTACCAGCTGTCCTGCGGCCACCTCCTGTGCCGGCCCTGCCTGGGGGAGAAGCAGCGCACCCCGCCCATGACGTGCCCGGCCTGCCAGCGCCCCTTCGCCAGCCAGGACGTGCTGCGGGTGCACTTCTGACCGAGCCGCCACGCCCGGGGAGTGCCCAGTGCTGGCCCGGGTCAAGGGGCCTCCGGGCTGCGGCCTCAAGCCGGCCCCCACCTGACCTCCGTTTTCCTGGGGGGGCTTTCTCTTTCCTCCTCCCCCCATGGAGCACCCAGGCCCTGGGGGAAGGGCCGGGGAGGGGGTGCCCCCCTCCTGCTCAAGTGGCAGCAGGTTGACAAAGCCATAGTCGGGGCTGGGAGCGCCGGGCGGTGTCTGCTCTGCTGTGTCCCCTGCCATCCCCCCCCCCCAGAGCCCAGGGCCTGCTAAGCGCCTGCACCCCCGTTGAGGGCCCCCCACTTGTCTGCACACAGCCCCATCCCGGGGGTATGAGTGGAGCACAAAGACTGGCCCAGGGCCTCAGCCAGCCAAGTGTCACCCCACAGTGGACTGCGCTGGGCGTCAGGGGAGGGACTGACTCCCCCCACTCCACCACCAGCCCGCTTGGAGCCTTAATAAAGCGCTGGTTGACATCGACTGTGAGCTTCCACCTGGCAAGATGTCCATCTGTCCTGTCTTCCTCCCATTCCCCTTCTTCACACACCAGTGGGACCAGTACAGGGCAGCTGCCACTGGCCCCCGCATAAGAAGCTGCATTTTCAGGGGCTTCTGATGTGCGGGGGTTGGGGGGCCCCCTCTGTGCTCAGCTACTGGCCACCTGCTGGCTTGCACGCTCTGCCCCCAACAGACAGACAGACAGACACACTCTTTTCTGTTGGGGGTTCAGTTATTCTCTATTTCAGAATTTAGAGATGCAGCAGGGAAAGGACTTGTTCTCAGACAAGCTTACTGTGCCCATGATTCTGACCTTGCAGGGAGTGCCCGCCAGTGACCGGTGTCTCTGTGTTCTGTGTTTTATCTTGGGGCTCCCCCAAGGAAGGAGACGGGTGTTCTTTCTGGCAGAGGGGCACAGGGATGGGGAGAGAGGCACATGCTAAGACTCAGACGCCCAGGCTGCCCACCCAGGACTGGGGCGTGGGTCAGGCGGCTGGGTAGGTGATGGGGTGGGTCAACTGTGGTGCCCGGGACCAAATCCGGGGACTCTAGAGTGGGCCGCCACCAAGGTGCTGTGGAGAGGAGAGGACAGCCTGAAGCCTGCAGGGGCCACCTGGGCTTGCCGCTCAGCTATGAGCTGCCCCCTGCCCACTGCCCTCCGCCCGTCTTTGCTGATGTTCTTGACAATGCCCAGCTTGGCAAGACACAAAGCCCAGTACTGCAGACACAGCCCATGCCCACCAGCAGGTGGCGCCCTCTGCCCTGCCTGGCGGCCACAAGCTCCTGCAAAGGCAGGAGCAGAGCAGAGCTGCCCAGTTCCAGACGCCGCTGGGGGAACAGGTCTGCCCTGCATCTGGGTGGAGTGTACCCCACATCGACGGGACTCCAGGCCGAGTTTCTCCCCCCCAAAGTGGTCTTCGCTGCCCCGACCTTACCACACAAAGGCTGCTCACCTCAGTGCCTCTCCCGGAAATGGGGGTTAACTTTCTCTCCCTGCCCAGGGCCCAAGGGCGGGTCATTTCCCAGCAGAGCCCAGAGCAGTCTACTGGGCCCTGCTGTGAGGCAGAGCCCCTTCTCTCGTGTCCCCTCCGCCTGGGCAACCCTGGGTCCTCGGCAGAGTGGCCTTGAGGCGCTGTGACCTGATCTGGCTGTGGGCCCCAGTCTCCAACCCAGGCGCAGAGAGGGAGCTGTCCGCTGAAGGGTCACCTCAGAAGTAGCCTGGGAGTCGAGGAGCCACGTGGCCTGGAGCTGCTGTACCCCCCACCTGCTCCCCCACCCCGCTTCCTCTTCTGAGCCCTGCATGAGGCCTCCCAGCTGTGAGGCGCTTCTCCCTGCCCTGGAAATGGGGCTGTGTAAGTAGGTCTGAGACAAAAAGGCTGCCCCTGCCCACTTTTAGGCTGCAGCCCTCCCGCGGGCCACTGTGAGGCCATCCAGTGGGCAGGTGGCTTCCTGGCTCAGCTGCCTCGCTCCCGGTCCACCTCTTGCCTCGCTTGCTGACAGACAGCAGCAGGCGAGAGAGCAGGGGCCGGGCTGGGACGAGGCGGGGGCTCCGGCATCACACGCAGCATCACACACACACACACACACACACGTGGCCTCTCCCCCATGTGGTGCTTCAGTGACCCCCAAGGGCACGTGGTCTGGCACCACTGACCTCCAGGGCACCTCCAACCCCTGAGCCACCCATGGAGTTGACCCAGGACTTCAGCACTGCACACACCCCTGGCCTTGCACTGCGCTGCTGACACACTGGGCCCAGTGTCACCGGGAAGGGCCGGTCCGCCTTGTCCCCCGCTGTGCCCAGCACTGCTTGAAAGGATTGGGACTATGGAAAGGGAAGGGGATTTTAAATGTAGCTCCTCCATCACACCAGTCACATTTCAGTTGCTTAGTAGCTGCAATACTGATTGTGAACATTTTCATCCTTCCAGAAAGTTCTACTGTGGAGTATAGGAACAAAATAGGAACTTGGGGACTCTGCCTTGTTTCTGTGATCTCTATTGGGCACATCACTTTGGAGAGCAGGGAAACGGAGCAAGGGATGTCTATAACAAAAAGCCCGACAATGGGGCCCAGAACCAGACGTGCTGAACCCAAGGGCCAGAGAGCTAATACGGGATAAAGTGGCTTGCTTTGCATGTGGCCAAAATTAAAACTCCACCTTAATCCCCGGAACTGCATAATTCCCCAGCATTACTGGGGCAACCCCTGAGCACTGTCAGGTGTAGCCCCACCCCCTACCCCCAAGCCAAAAGCAGGTGTGTGGGTTAGAGCACTAGAACAGTGGGTAGGGAAAGATTGCACTCATCTGTGGAATATAAAGTAACAGAATGGGAGACTAACACCTAAAGGACCAGGAGGTCTGCTCCCCGACTCGGAAACCAGCCTCACAAGCTGGGGGAAAAGGCAGCTCAGATAGAGAAGGGAGCACCAAGTAAAGGATGTTGGGAGGACCCATTCGGGTTGAAAGATGCGTGCCGAAAGAAGACTATAGACGGAACATGATGGCTGCTCAATACCTCTATTGCAAACCACAACACCTGAAAGGAGAGAAAGAGCAAAAGGGAACGCCCTGCCACAGAGGCAGGGCAGGGTGGTGGGGGAAGGGGTGGGGTGGTGGGAGGGATGCTGGGTCCACTGGTGGTGGAAAATGCACACTGGTGGAGGGACGGGTACTCAACCATTGTATGACTGAAATGCAAGCACAAAAGTTTGCAAGTCTGTAACTACCTCATGGTGATTCACTAATAAAAAATTTAATTTAAAAAAACGTTGAGTTTCCCTCTCCGTCCTGAGCAGAGCCCCGGCAGCTGAGGCCTCTGGGACCCGGCCACAGCCATGCTGAGACCACTCTCCACATGCTAGGACGAGCCTTACGCATGAAGGAACCGGCAGAGGAACCCAGTTGTGCGGGACCCAGGGCTGAAATCTCTAAGCCTGCTTGGATCAGGACTGGGCCTCCTCCATCCAGATTTCCCATCTTCCAGTAGCTAGACAGTTATACCCACTGACTGCTGTGTAACCCCATCAACGGCCAAGATCCAGAGATTATAAAACCAAACTCTTGGAAGTTCTCGCTCTCAGAACCTGGCAGGCTAGCGAGAGTATCTTGCCCTCATATATGCCTAACTGGGAACACCTGTAAAGGTGATGAGAGGCTGCCCCAAAAGCCTCCATCCCTCTCAGTCTGGCAAGCTACCGAGAGTGTCCCACCCACACGGCAGAACTTGGCAAGCTACCCATGGCATACTCGATATGCCAAAACAGTAACAATAAAAAGATAAATAAATAAAAAATTTTAAAAAGTGGGTAGGGGGCTTGCTTTCACTTGGTCAACAGGGTTCAAACCACAGCATCTCATATGGCCCCTGAGCGCTCCCAGGAGTGATCCCAAAGGACAGAGTCAAGAGTAACCCCTGAGTATCGCTGGGTGTGACCCAAACTAAAAAAAAAAAGAGAAAGTTTTGGGGTTGGAGTGATAGCACAGCGGGTAGGGTGTTTGCCTTGCATGCGACCAATCCGGGTTCGATTCCCAGCATCCCATATGGTCCCCCAAGCACCACCAGAAATAATTCTTGAGTGAAGAGCCAGGAGTAACCCCTGTACATTGCCAGGTGTAACCCAAAAAGTGAAAAAAAAAACAGCGAGTTTAAAAGAAAAGCCTCTTAGATGGCCAAACCAGGCTAACTACTCACAAATATCATACATAAATCACAAGCTGGGAGCATTTTGGTTACTTGTATTCCTAAGACACAGCTTCTAAAAAAAGAGCAGCCATGGCCTCACCTCAGCCATGCCCGTGGGAGGCCCTAGGTTCCATCCTAGAAGTGTCAGGCAATAAATAGCCACAAGGAAAAGCAAATGTTTCTTTCAACAGGTCAAAAGACTCTCAACCTTGCATCTTAGGAAGAAATAAACACACGCTCTGCATGGGGGAGCCATTGGGTCTGTCCCCAGCACTGCACGCCCGGTAGAGTGCATGGAGCAAGGCTAAGAGTGACTCCCAAGCACTGTGCTAGGAGCAGCCCCTAACCACCACTCAGTGTGGCCCCCTAAAGTATCAAATTCCGGAGGGCCAGAGGATGGTATAACAGGGCATTTGGCTTGTCCCAGATTCGATCCCCAGCATCCCATATGGTCCTCCCAGTACGGCCAGGAGTGACCTGTGAGTGCAGAGCTAGGAGGAAGCCCTGAGCACTGTGGGGTGTGGCCCCCAAATAAAACAAATTGTAGCAGAGTAGCAGTAATTGGGAAGTATGTCCCCAAACAGTCAGCTTCCTTTCAGCATCCTAGCAGATGCCCTGGCACAAACACAGAACTAGTATCTGCTGTGGCCCGTGGGACCATATTGGCCCCCACAGAGGGGCCAGCTGTGTCCAACTGGCAGGCCAAGAAAAACTGATTCACACAGGCATGATGTTGCATATATTATCAAGATAATTACTGAGGCTTTGGAGGCCATCCATGTGATTTGCGTTAAAGAAGAAAACTGAGCTGGAGAGACAATGCAGGGGTTGCGGCGCTGGCCGTGCCAGGCCGTGCCAGGCTGACCTGGCTTCAACCCTCAGCACTCACTGCATATGGTTTCCTGAGCCTGCCAGGGGTGATCCTTGAGCACAAAGCCAGGACTAAGCTTTCAGCACCACTGGATATGGCCCCCAAACAAACAAAAAGTAAGAAAGAATAAAAGAAATTCAAAAACTTTTTATTTTTATTTATTTTTGTTTATTTTTTGCATTTTGGGTCACACCCGGCAATGCACGGGGTTACTCCTGGCTCTGCACTCAGGAATTACTCCTGGCGGTGCTCAGGGAACCATATGGGATGCTGGGAATCGAAGCTAGGATGGCTGCGTGCGAGGCAAACGCCCTACCCACTATG